CAAATAAAACAAAATATTTCACTAAATACCACTATTTCTATTGTTATTTAATAAGAACGATAAAGCTTGCTTACACTTTAACTTTGGGAAACCCAATTTACCAGCCTAAACTTCGCTTTGGCCATGTTTAACCTTTATTTACCCCAAACCCCAAAAAACCGTCCCCTTTGAATTTTCCTTTTATACAATTTTCTTTCTATATTTTTTATGAATTACTCAAAATGACTGTATTTCCTTTTTCTTATTATTTAAGAGTTTAAAATTTTTTTCTATCAATAACTATGATTTTTTTATTTTTAAATAATAATATATTTTTTCTGAATTTATAATTCTCTTATGTCTATGAGAAATTAATGCTTATTTCTTTTTTTTGTTATATGAAAAGACAAAATTTTAGTTACAAACAAAAAAAAAAAATTTGATTCGAAATCAAATCTTAAATGTCTCTTCAAATGTCTTTAACCATTAAAATAAGATAAAAATTTGGGGACGAAATTAATACTTATTTCTTGAACATGACAATTGTTAAAAAATTCATTAATCCGAAAGTGTTTATCTGTAATTAATATTTTTTGGTTTCTAAATTATGTGTAATAGTATTCTAGTAGTTTTTGATTTATAAGTTTAAGTAAATGGAGCATTGTTGAGTGAAAAAAAAAAACGAAAAATATGCGAAATTATTAGGGTATAAACTGGGCATGTCAGTAAATAGTAATTATTCATTCAGTTCAGATCACATTGTTGCAGAAACTTACTTGATGGTCATAGGAAAATCACAACATCCTACCATTAATTCAATCTGCCATTAATGCTTAGGATATTGTTTGTCACGTCCTCTGAACCAGATTGGGATTTGCTCAGAGAGTTGAAATCCTTTTCCGGTCTTAACTTTAGGGTTTTATTTTTATTTTTTTTAATATAGAGGCCAATAACCTGTAAAAAATTTAAAATTGTAGGGTTTGATTTTATTTAAATTATTTTTATTTAATTTAGTTTAAATTTGAATTTTAAATATTTTTATTATATTCGGATTGAATTTTAAAAAATAAAAAATAAAAAATATCTAACTTAAATTGAATTACATATTTTTTTAATTTTTTATAAAATAAAATAATTTTTTAATAATTTAAATCTAATTAAATTTTATGTTCACTTTCACTTTGCCTTTTGAAATTAGGCAAAACCTCGTTTCAGTATTCTATTAAAAAGCAAAAAAAAAATAAAAATTACCATGATAATTTTTTATTCAAAGTAGTAGTAAAAACATATAGAAAGTGGAAATTATTATTTTTTTCATTTAAAAACTTTGCACGTGGAGAATGTTGTGACATTTTGGTCTTTTCAATGTGAGAAAAAGTCTCCGCCGTAACACCAACGGCCTTTGGACTTTTGTTTTTCTCTTTATTATTATTATAATAAATTAATAATAATTTGTTTATATATGGTTTTCGTTTTGATATTTGGGGAAGACAAGTATCAATGCTTTGGGTTGCTCGAGTTAAAATATGCAGTGTTTTGTGCCACTTCAAACATTAGAAAGCGATGCCAATATTCAATTAATTTTGCTTCATTGAGCTACAGTATGCATGCATGGGCTAGTAAATGCGTACTACTTGTAAAATATAATATACTATTTATAATATTTATGTTTTATTTAGATGATCGTAAAATGTAATATACTACATTATATATATATATATAATATGCTATTTACAATACCTATATTTTATTTAGATGATCGATTGGAAGGCATTTTCACTATATCATTGCATCATTTTGAAATTAAATTTTGAACGGTCACCCAAATGAATTTGATTTTGATATATATATATATATATTTTTTCAAGGAAAGGCAAATGCTCGTACAATAGAAAAGGGAGATGACAGGGTTAAAACTCACGTTCACATGTTTTTCTTAAAACCTCTTAATCACTAGATCAAAAGGTGAAAGATGTATCCTTTGATTTATAGTGTAATACTGAATCTCTATCTATTCTATATATTAAATATTCATCATTTCATTGGAAATTTTGAATTAATATTTCAAAATTTATAGTCCTTTTCTTACTTCTTTTATTAGTAATTTCAGTAATTTTTGCTTGCCTTTTTATTTAAAATATCGATATTTTGACAATTTAAAATTTAAAAGTTCTCACTATTCTCCCATAAAATCTTGTTTGAACAATGAAAATAATACAATAGTAACTAGACTGTTTTCTTCTATGGTAAGGGATGAGGATCTCACCATGCATATAAAGAAAGGGTTTTCTATATGTTCATAGTACTAATATATATGCATGTCCAACCAATTAAGATATACATGCATTGCAAACCAATTAAGCAAGGGGATGGGAAGAAAATTGTGATGAAAATCCCAACACATTTGAGGTAATCAAGATCTTTGAATTTTGATAATCGAAATTAAAATTTTAATATTTTATCAATAAATCATACGATTATTGGGTTGATACATAATTAGAAACAAAGGTTTAGAACAAGGCCAACAAGGGGAAAATGAACGTGCAAAATAATAATAATAATATTGTTGAATCAACTTTCATGGCAAATGAAAGGAAAATGAACAGTATCATGATAATCTTGCTGTTTCATAGCAAAATAAAGGAGGAAAATATACAGTTATCTGGCAACAAGCACCTGAGTGAAGTAACTAAACTCCAATAAAAGTACATGAAAATAGTGTTTTATGTTACCTTCCTAAGTGTCATACATATAATATCCCGAAATATCCGTTCACGGGTCTGCCCAGCCTTTGGACTCTTCGGCATACCTTATGTCTTTGGTCTTCATAGGTTATAATAACTATAGGTTTACCAGGACCATGTCTACATTTGTATTTACTATTATTAACTTAGAAAAAGGATCGTTGAAATTATTATTATTCGTCAAAGATATGTTCTTTTCATGTAAATCGTGATATGTAATCATTTATTAAATATTATATGTAGGAATTTATTGAAATAAATATTTATTATTTAATTATTATATGTGATATGTTATAAATAATTAATTTTTTTTAATAATATGAATTTATTTCATAATTTAAATGAAAATGATATGTGCTGACATAAGTAGACCTGATAATTTAAAACAGGAAACATTGACATGATACGAAAATGATATAAATAAAGGATATAGAGATAATATGATTTAAAATTAAAAAAATCATAAAAAAGTTTAATAAAATAAGAAAATTATTGTCGATATGAATTATGACACGTGATTTTCATAAAAAATATAACACGAATATAATATTTTATACGATACAATAACACAAATTGCCAGATTTAGATATAAAGTAACCTTATACCATCCTTTTTCTCAATACTAAAGTTCAAAAGTCTATCATTGCCTAGAGGTATATTGTGTTAGAGATTGCAATTATTTTAATAAATTCTTTTCTCGAGAGGAAGATTGAAGTGTTGACGTCCCTTATTTAAATTGGTAAACTATTGAACTCTTATTTTAAATGGTTAGAGTTTAAATTTTGATAGCTTTAAAAATAATAATAATATATCTAAAAACTGCATCCTCACCATTTATATCATATATCTATACATATTCCTGATCTTCCACGTAGCTTAAATACTTATGAGTAAGTTTTAAATCATGGCTATATAGATAGAGTTTCATTGTCTTTTGTAGGAGAATGCAATAAACTTTCATGCATAAATATTTAGTCTTTGGTACTTCTTAATCTCACAAGATAACTAGCACTATTCAATATATAATCATGTACATTAACACTAATTCGTAACACCAATGGATCGGTACATATCTCGTAATTACACTCTTGCCCTTGTATCTTGATCAACTTTCGTTAGATACAAAGGACAAAATGCAGAGTTGGAAATGTAAGAATTTTAACTTTATTTTTATCATAATCAACTTTCGTGACTACACTCTTGCAATTGCATCTTGATCAACTTTCCTTTCATTAAAAAAAAAAAAAAGAATTTCAATTAGAATTCAAGAATTTTGCTCAAATCTCACTTCATTTTTACTATTTGAAGTGATCAACTTAAATAAGTGGCACCTTTAATTTTGACCACCTTTTTGCTTATAATTTCAAACGCTTTCACCTTATCATTTTTTTACAGTAACGGATACATGCATATTTCATCCAAGTGATGTTGAAATGAGAAAAGAAATAAATTGAAGGAAAATTATAATAGTTGAATGAACATTGAGAACATAAATTTAAGACATACTTAAACAAATTAAAATGATCATCGTATTTAGTTTTAGGGTTAGGAGATAGGACAATTAATGGCATAATACTATTAAGGTTTGCTTTTATTTTCATTAAATTTTATAATTTTAAATATGATATAATGATAAAATATGAAAATAATGAAAGAATAATTAAAATTTTAAAGATTTCTAAATGTTTTCTTAATTCTTTTTTAAAATTTTTGTGAATTTTTTTTCTAATTGTATCTAATCATATTAATTGTCGTATTAAACATATTAGTTAAATATGTTAGTCATATTATGTGTAAAAAATATAATAAATATGTCAAATATTAATAGTTCATATTATATTCTTATTTTACGTATTCATCTTATATTTTGTGTTATGAAAAAATAAATAAAAATACGTAACTTAATGCTATTAAATGGTTATATGCTTTCTCACAGGGGCAGCCTTTCACATTAGAGTTCAGTTCCCGAAAATGAGCTTTATAAAACAGTAATAGCATATGGAGGTGTTTTGGAAGTGTGTACTGAAATTAAAAGCCAAAGGAAGAAAAAAAAAAAGAAAAAAAGAAAAGGGAAAAGCAATAATGAGACTATAACGGTTGGTGGGCTATGGTATGGGGGTTTGGGGTGACGACGTTTTCCGTTAGGAATTGACATCCCAGTCAACAAAATAATGGCGTTTTTGCATTGACTAACAAAAAGCACAGTTGACGTTGAACCTTACCCTACGTTTTTAAAATATTTTTCCCTTGCACACCCATATAACGGCGTTATGAGCCGTCACTTGGCTATATATAGGAATCCCTTTGCTCTATTCCATATTCATCATCCAACCTCTCTAGTTTTGAACATCTCTTCCCTCTCTCCCTTTCCCTTTTTATATTCATCTCTTAAATGGTTGCGTGAAGCAAAAGTTTGGAATATTGGTGTTTTGTTGTTGGCAGAGAGAAATCAGTTATCATCAGCCAGTTTGAGTTAGTAAGTTTCTTTTTCGGTTTCTCGAAATGGGGAAGAAAGAGTTGAGAGATGAGAAAGTGAACGGAAGAGTTGAATCTGTACTTCAACTTGTTAGAAAACAGTCTCCATTAACAGTGAAACAGGTAGGTTTTTTCAGATCTTTCTGTCACAAAACAATTATGAGGGAGGAAGGACACCATTCATCAATGGTTTCAGGAAAAATCATATAGCTAATCATTTTCTCGTTCTAGGAAAATAAGATTCCTATCTGGGATTTTCAAATCCTGATGTGATTTACCGTTTGTTTCATGGAAACAGGAGAAGTTCTGCAACAATGCTTGTGTAGAGAGGTTTTTAAGAGCAAAAGGTGATAATGTCAAGAAGGCTGCTAAGCACTTACGAGCTTGTCTTTCTTGGAGAGAGAGCATTGGCACTGGTAAGCAGTGATTTTTTCCTTTCTGTTCTTCTGGTTTCTTTTTGTTTCTTATATATGAAACAATCTTGCTTTTTCATTTCAATTTGAACGTTAAAGGCATATACTCTCTGATCATTAAAGCCACTTATCCAAAAGGTTTCTCTTTTTCTTTTCCGGGTTTTTTTTTTTGCATAAAATTAGTTTCTTTTTATGTTTTGGATATGTACAGAAAATTTGATAGCAGATGAGTTCTCAGCTGAGTTAGCTGATGGAGTTGCATATGTAGCCGGTCATGATGAAGAGTCCAGGCCTGTCATGGTCATTTTCAACTCCCATTTTTCTTTTCTGATTTTCTCGAGAATTGAAGCCAGAAAATTAATCATTTTCAGGAATTAAAATTTTGCTGCCGTTGTCTTTGTTACAGATTTTGAGGATCAAACAAGATTACCAAAAGTTCCATTCTCAGAAACTGTGAGTAATTAACGCAAATTCTTGTCTTCTTTTTCTTGTTAACTAATGACAACAAGATCTGAAAATTTTTTTTTTGTTGTTTTTTCTTTGTCATATTTTTAGTTCTACTCGTTTGCTGGTTTTCACATTGGAGGTTGCTATAGGAACCATGCTAAAAAACGTCGACCAATTTGTTCTACTCATAGATGCAAGTAAGTTTCACAATCCAAATGACTATAATACCCTTCGAAAATCCAATGAAACTCCATAAAACTTTGGAAATCGAGTTCGTTTGCTGTATTGTCATTGCACACTGCTGATGCGGAATCACGGGCAGGTTCTGAGACAACTTCAGATAATGTCCGGAGTGCCCCTTTAAGTGTCACAGTCAATCTTAATTCTCTCCGGGGGATAACAGGGGTATTATCGGGAATTGGAGTTATTTAAATCATCATCAAAACTAGGAAGTTCCCAGGATTCTATATTTTGCTTTCATCTCATAATCCTCTGCAATTGTCAGGCTTTACTGCTTGTATAATCATATATAATAATTAGAGAAAACTAAAGAAATTTGAATTTGTTTTTTTGTAGGATGATAATTTTGAGAACCTTTTTTTTTTCTGACAGGCTTTTTCAGATCAGCATCGGCTTTCATGAACTTGTTGTTGGCAGCACTCAAAATTGTGGCCGACTACTACCCTGGACGACTTTACAAGGCTTTCGTCATCGACCCACCTGCGCTGTTTTCTTATCTTTGGAAGGTAGTTTCAAAACTCTGCCCCTTTCCCTTCAAAGTTTGTAATGCTAAACAAATACTATTGAACCTGCAATGCTAGCTCCTTTTCAGATCATCAAGCTTAAGTCAAATCTTGTACACTTCTTTTTCTTGGTGGGTCCTTCATACCATCTCCATCATGGGATTGTTTTTAAATGGTGTGACTTACCATTCCAGGCCAATAAGTTAGATTCCAAGTATTTGAAAAACAAGAAATTGTCTAGAATAATTAGGTCCAACTCATATGATTATGCTTACGTACAAATGAAATGTATTAACGGTCCAATTTGAATAATCGTTACACTCATAACTATATTTAGTTTGTGTAAAATCATGTTATAAGTCCTAATTAGCCCTTAATCATGTTATGGTATTATGTTTATTCAAATTTTGTCCTACTCTTAAAGATGGAAAAGTGTTTATGAAGTCTTTCAAAGATAAAAAATTAAAAAAAAATTTCTTAACATTATTTTTATCAATAAAATTAATAAATTTGCCAATAATTTTTTATATTATTATAAATAGACATGTTCAAAATAATCTTAGTCCCCTATTGTGTACTCTTATCGTTAGTATTAAGTTTAAAGGACATGATTTAGTAACAAGTTTTTTTGATGTTTTATTTGGTAGGGTGTTCGTGCATTTGTCGAGTTATCAACGGCTACGATGGTGGTTTCATCACTAGATTTCGAAGAATCACTTGAGTTTAACGACTTTGGATCATACCCAAGAGCCTCATCTCTCCGGTTTGACCCCTCGTCAATCAAATCAACGGCCAAGGTCGGCTCATGCTCTTCCTCCAGATTCTCCTTCACAGTATCACATCATTTTGACTCTCTAAAACCTTGGTACCTCACCTTGACTGACACGTCAGCCTCCAAAGTTGGATCGACGAGCCCGTCCCCCTTCGGCCCAGCACTGATCTCCCCACTCAACGCGAGGTCCCTCTCTTTTGCATCACCAGCTGCGAGGGCGCCACGTGGCAACATCAGCATGAGGAAGAGCTTATTCCCATCTACGCCTCTGCCACAGCGTAGCAAAGCCATTGAGTCCATCAAAGCCAACTATTCGCGGACCCCACGGCCATCCTTCCTCCAATCACCTGTCATGTTTTTCCGAAGGGACTGCCATGTCAGCACCAAAATAGAAAAGTCTCGAGAATCCTTCATGCCCTTTTTGAAGTTTTACAGAAGGCCGTACGATGAGATGATCTACAGGTCAATGATGCGGCCCCCATTAGGTGGCTTAATCTCCATCGTTAAACGGCGCCACATGTCGGTATCGCAACGGTTCTAGATTAAAAAAGTACAGAGCTACTGAATTTACATTTTCTTCGAGTGTTGAAGCGCACTACTAATAATTTGATTAATTATTTGTTTTCTTCGTGTTCATTTTGCTTTTCGTGTGATTATACACGAGAAAGAAAAAAAATGAATTAATTAAAGAATTTATTGAGGGAGACTACGTGCGAGGTGGGATGTGAATTGTTGTGCAAATTTTGAGCATTGTTGACCTAAAAATTAAAGTCGGCGTTGAGTTTTCGGAGGAGAAGCAAAGCATGGGAAGAAGAAACCGTGGTCGAAACGTTGAACATTGCATTGGAAATCATTGTAGCAAAGAAAACCAAAGCGTTGAAAACAAAAATATTTCGTTTTTTCATAGTTGATGTTATAAGAATATTATTTGTTTTTAAGTTTTGGGGAGGTGGAGAATCTATGACTTGTTTTTGTTCGACCTTGGTTTCGAGATAAATAAAGAAAAGAAAACCCATTTGAGTTTGAATCTTCTATTTGTATTGATTATAAACTTGTTCATAATAAGTCATATTATATTGTTTATTACGCATTGGTTTCAACGTGAGCAGAGTTGGGTGGGAATATGTGTCCTTTTATGTTGTTGTAAGAAGTCAAACTCATCAAAATAAAGAGCCCCTGATTCTTTCCATGTATGAAAGGAGAAATTTTGAGATGAGTCATGAGTTGTTCGTTTTGGGAAATGTAAAAAAAAAAAAAAAAAAAGGGTAGAAGAAAGAGTTGACGTTATGGTACGAGATGGGTGTGGGGAGATGGGAGTTTTGTCGTGTAAGAGATGTCGTTTAGGACACAAAGGTCATTTTGTGTTTGGCATTTTACTGCTTTGCTTCTTTTACTACCCAAACTAAAAAATTTGGGGGAATCGTGAATTTAGGCTGAGCTGAGAAATGGGTTATGAAATGGACAAATGGGGGTACTGACCGACTACTGAGAGACAGAGAGGGAGCCACTCTTTGGAGTTTATTCTTTTTTTTTTTTTTAATTCATGTTTGAAGTTTATTCTTTGTTGTTTGCGAGTTCGGAAGTGTCGCTTTCGTTTGGATTTTAAGGGGGCATTTTTCCAGGGAATGGGATTGTCATGGATTTTATTTACAGAGCAGTGTGATGCTCTCAGCTCTGTAGTTTCTGCTCCTATAAAGGATTTCGTTGCTGGGTGGAATTATCTTTTTCAATTCTACACTCATTCTTCTGCTTTTTTTTTTGCCGTATCTGCATTTCCATTATTCTTTATCAGCATCATTAACGTCTTGAACATTTTTCTTTTTCTTTTGGCACTTGCTTTGTATTATTGTTTTTAAAATGAATATTTAATTATTAAATTTTTATCTAGTTTCTAAAATTTAAATAAATATTTTTTTGTCATCCAATCGTTATAATTTTTAACAATATATTGACGTGATAATATCACCTTAATTGTCCGATGCTTTGTGACATACCCCAAATTTATTATCACGTGATATGTCAAATAATATGATCATATTATGTGACACTTAATAATTGATATAAGATTATCATATTAGCATACTATTAGAGATTAATGATTAAATGATAAGAAATACTTATTCAAATTTTAATGATTAATTAAAAAATTTTAAAAATTAAATAATTATTTTAAAAATATGATCATAATTGACTAATCAATGATTTATTTTACCTCTATTTTTATCAAGTTTACAAATACAAAAACAATGTTTCATTGACAATTAAGGATGGTTGTGATCCTACATTGTCCTTCCGTTTTGTTTTTTTTTAATGAATTTCTTTCCCATTGAGTAAAGCTAAAGAATCATTTTGTTTTAATAGTTAAGACATTCACAAAGGTACAAATTCAATGAATTTTAAGATGAAGCTAGCACTCAAATTAAATTACAATAAAATTGGTTTATGATCGAGTACTTCAGATGGATTTAGATACCGTCCTAGGAAACCAATGTAATACCATCCTAGAAACCAATCTAACTTGAAAATTTGATCTTGAAAGTGTGAAGAACTTGGTACTAATTGTGTTAAAATTTACTCAAATTTCGAAAGATCATTTGGTTCATGAATTCTTATATTTTTTTAGGAATTTAACTTTTCGTAATATGATTTTTATGTTTGATTAATAGAATGTGATTCTCTGAAATTTTTAAGATTATTAGTAGTGTTAGGAAGGAAAAAAATAATTCAGAATAAAAAACTCTTTTCCTTGAAATTTTCTTAAATTTCTAACGAAATGCTAAATTTTATTAGATCATAGAATAAAAAGTAACCGTTAATTTTTATTGGAATAGATAACAATTATCATCTTTTTATAAAATTAAATAATTGATTATTAAATAAATAAATTACTGATGGTGACAAATGCAATAATTTTATAATAATTAAATATCATTTGAGAGTGTATGCTGCACATTAAATTTCTTTTCAACAAAAATATTTAAAAGTAATCATCTAAATTACGGATTATGTTTAATTTTTAGTTAGGAATAAAAATGAATAAAAATGTACAAGGAAAATACTAAAATAAAAATGTAAAAACTTTGATAAAGTATAAACTGGAATAGTCTGATCTAATGTGAGATATTAAATTTTTTATTTTAAAATTCATTTATATTATTTACAGGTCATATTATTATTGCTATCGTACGTTTATGTTTTAATAAATATATTATGAAATTATTAAATAAATTATTTTATGAATGTCACGTGTTATTCAAGTGTTTACAAGGGTAATAAAGTAAAAGAATTTATTAGGTAATTTTAGAGTATGTGAATCAAACGTAAAAGTTTTACATTCCATAAGGTTAATAAAATAAAAAAATCAATCATTTTCTTTGACTATCACTTTTCCTTGAAATCACTTGCACTCTTGGAATTTAAGATTCTATGAATCAAAATCTCACTTGAATTTTATGTGGGAGAAAAATTTAGATATATTCCTTTTTTTTAAGGTTCATTTAGATGGATATTGAGATTGACTCATTGTTATTTAAAATAGTGGTAAAGATAAAATTAATTATTATAACAGTAATATTAAAATAAATAGTGAGATATGTCTTTAAGTGTAAAAATAACAATGACAATGAAGTGAATTATAATGACTAGATAAAGTGACAATTAAAGATATTGATTAAAAATTGTATGTAATAAAAAATTTAAATTATTTAATATCTATAAAATTAATAAATAATTGAAAAATTATTAAATGATTTTTAATTTAAAATAATAGTTTTATTAATAAATAATTAAAATTTATTTATTAGTTTATTATATAACTAATAAGATTTATTTATAATTAATTAATTATGTAATAATAAAATTTATTTTTATATTAAATTAACAAAATTAGTTTATAATTTTCAAATAAAAAGTTAAAATAAAAAAAATAAAGTTGAAAGTTGTTAACTTCAAGGGAGAAAAACGGAAAAACAACGTGAAGAAACTATGCCGATGGTGAAGTGAAGTTTCATATGCCAGTGAATAATCGGTAAAAATCTCATCTCAGCATACCATTGTTTGGATCTTAAAATAGCGGTTGACGCAACATTTTATAACAACTAAACTGCATTGTAGGGACCGGCGGATTCCAAACCCAGTCTTAGTAGACTATGGCGAAGCCCTTTTGTTCGCAAATTTCCTCTATATAGAGCAGTAGCCCATTAAATCATACAAAATCAATATAATAAATAAATATAATATACAAAAAGTTTATATTTTTTTATAATCATAGTCTAAAAATAAAAAAAAAATTTGTTACTACTGTAATTTAAATTTTAAATTTATTGAATATGACATATTAAAAATAATCATATAAATTATTGAATTAAATTTTAATTAAAAAATTTCATATTTTGATGATGCATGTTAAGATGATTAGATTTACAGAGCAAGGACACCAGTCTTTTTTTTTTTAAGAATTTTTTACTGTTTAGCATAGCCGAAAGGTGAGAACGGTATAGAATTTATTACATAAAAAAAAATAAATTGATTAAATTTAATTTTGATATTCAAGGTTAGGAACTTTGGCCATTGAAGTGGCTAAAGGCTGACGCTTTTGCTATCTTACCGTAAACATATGCTTTATTCATTGGAAAATCAAACTCGAGATCTACATGGTGAATTGAAATTTAATGCCACAATGGATATACCTCTCTGAAGTCGGAATAAAAGGACCCAAAATTTCTCTCGACTCCCTCAGCCTTGAGGTTCTCATTGAACATTTCAAAGACGTAAACCTCCATATCCACATCTGCCTTTCTTGGTATTTTCCCTACTCCAATAACATGATCCCTCAATTTGATGCTATAAATTCTTGCATTTTCTATGCTCATGACCTGCAATTGGCCAGCCAATACCAACTTTGGCATCCTCCTTTGCCGCTTGTCTCAACGTTGCTGCTACAAAGAAGTCTACCATGGCATCAAACATATTATAGTATGCTAAGTTCCTGTCATTAATGAGATATAGTTTGGTTCTCAGGCAAGGGCAAAGTAAGGGTAAACATTGATTAGAAGTGGTGATGCAATGCTAATACATATAGCAAGTCAAATTGCACATAACTTGAGCAAATTGGCCCTAGAAGGGAGGATATGAGGCTTCTAAGACATTGAATCCAACAGCAGTTATGACAAATATGTAATCTATCCCTTGGCAATTGACTCGTGGAGATTAGCCATTTCTCCCAGGACATAAGATGCAATAGCACTTGGGATCGCATCATTGCCTACGCAGAGATTTCGGAACCTAACACCCTCTTCAAATGTATGTGACAATGTGGTCTTGAAACCACTTATCAGCAGCTTCTTGGATTGATGCTACATAGGCAATCGCCTCATTTGGAACCACTTTCAAGTTTGTCATGTTGAATCTGTATCAATGAGATTTTGTTGTTCAATTCTCCCGAGAGGAAATCAACGACCCGTCTACGAGAAGGCAGATTGTCTTCATTTCTTCCATAATTGGTACCGTATCATCAAGTGGCAGAAAAAAAGATTTATCTCATTGGAATTATGGGGAGAGAATATTTAACCACAATGAATGATGAGTAAATTACTCACCTTAGAGTGTTAAAAGGGTGAAAAATAAGAACTGCAAAAATCTGTTATGGTGTGGGTCCAGCCCTATACTATTATTATTTTAAAAGGGCCAAATTTGACCCAGCCAAA